TATTCAATCTATCTCATACTGTTTAGCTGTATGGATTAGGCTAAATACAACATACTGGTTAAGAGGTTTAAGCATGTTAATGCATATTTCTGCTACTTATTATGCATGATCTTGGTTGTTACTTGATTTCATGCTACATCAGTGTCCTCTTCGCTTGTTTGAAGATAAAAGCAATTATCTACCAGATGTAACCTCAGAACCAAAAACATGGATGCATATAAAGCAGTCAGTATAATAATGGCATTCATTAATTGTTTAATGAAGTACCTGACCCATACTAGTTTTAAACTTCTGGTGGGCTCCATTCCATGTCGTTGTCCTCTTCCATATTCATTCTCATTTCTACTGTTTTATTCTGCATGTACTTACACTTGCCTGATAAAACTTGGTCAGCTCAGAAATAATCTCCTAGTTATAAACTAACAAATGTCAAAAATGGCTTCTAATCATTGTTAGTTGTTCATTTTACAATTAGCTTGATCAGTTTATACTTTACCACATGTTTGTACAATTTTGGAAGTTCTTACCTCATATTATCAATGATTAGGCCAATAGCTAAAGAAAAACCTAAATTAATCTAATAACACTAGCATGCATCTGGCCACAAATCAAGTCCTTAGCAAATTCCAATGTGAGTATTCCTTTGGTATAAAATTAAACTAAATCTTAATTTTCTAATTGCCCCTTTCAAGTTATTCTTATGAGATCCTCATCAAAGACCAAGAGTTATTTTCAAGAAGACTTAAAAAAAGTATTCCATGTTTCCAAACCACTATTACTAATTCCTAAATGTTCAGAAAATCTAGATCAAATGGATACCAGCAGATTCATTAATCCTATGACTAACAATGCAAAACAACTACAATAATATTCAATGAGTGTAAAGGACTGTAGCCAGGTGTTAGTGGCTCATACCTGTAATCCTAGCTATTCAGGAGGCTAAGATCTGAGAATAACAGTTCAAAGCCAGCCCAGATAGGAAAGTCTTGTGAGACTCTTATCTCCTATTAACCACTAGAAAACCAGAAGTGGAGCTGTGGCTCAAAGTGGTAGAGCACTAGACTTAAGCAGAAAAGCTCAGGGACAGTGCCCAGACCTTGAGTTCAAGCCCATAACTGACAAAAATGAAAGGGTGGGGGGAGGAAAGGAGGGAGGAAAAGGACTGATAATGTTAACTATAGGGAAGTAAAAAAAAGAAAGTAGAAGAGCATCCAAAGGAGACCTTAGAAATTCATGCACTCAATTCAGAAAGAGCAACTTCTCAAAAGGAAGAATAAAAGCTTGTAGTATTATATGCGCTAGGTAGTGAGTTTATTTTAACAATGTAAATAGTACTATATGAATCTGTTGTAAATATATATATAGTCCACGTAAGTCAACTATTAATATAAAATAAGAAATAACAGAACATTTGCTGGGTATATGTTAGAAATGCAAAGAAAAAGTTTGGCTCAGGTTTTTTCATTGATACTTAAGCTAATTTGGGATATTTCTGTCCAAGTTAATAAAAGCCCCAGGACTGACATACATACGTACATACATACATATATCCCTTTCAATTCAAAACATGCTTTCAATTGTAAGCACTTTCCAAGAGCCCTCACAAAGTTACTATAGAGAAAAGGAGTGAACATTTTTTTTTTATTTAATTTAATTTTATTTGTGAACATACTGTACAGAGGAGTTACAGTTACATGGGCAGGATAATGCGTACATTTCTTACCAAGCATTGCAGCCTCCTCCTTTGTTTATCCTTCACATCCCTTCCCAGCCTCCCCCCTAGGAGTGAACATTTTAACAGAGTAACACTGTCCAAAAAGAAATGTTCTCAGCTGGGCGCTGGTGGCTCACGCCTGTAATCCTAGCTACTTAGGAGGCTGAGATCTGAGGATCGCGGTTCAAAGCCATCCCGGGCAGGAGAGACCGTGAGACTCCTATCTCCAATAAACCACCAGAAAACCGGAAGTGGCGCTGTAGCTAAAGTGGTAGAGCGCTCGCCTTGAGCTGAAGAGCTGAGGGACAGTGCCCAGGCCGAGTTCAAGCCCCACGACCAACAAAAAAAAAAAAAAGAAAGAAATGTTCTCATTAGCTGACTTATGTAACTGTAACCTCCTCTGAACATCACCTCTATTAACTTTTTTGGGTTGTTTTTTTTTTTTGGGGGGGGGGTGGTCTTGGGGCCTGATCTCTGGGCCTGGGCGCTGTCCCTCAGCTCTTCAGCTCAAGGCTAGCACTCTACCACTTGGGCCACAGTGCCACTTCCAGCTTTTTCTGTTTGTGTGGTGCTGAGGAATCAAACCCAGGGCCTCATGCATACAAGGCAAGCACTCTACCACTGAGCCACCTTCCCAGCCCCCGTAACTTTTTTAAAAAAGTAATGCACATAAAATTTAAAATTTTTACCTTATAACACTAAAGTATGGAAACAGAAATATAAAACTATACTCATTATGACACAGGATGTTTATTTTGATGATTTGTTGCTGCCTGTCTCTTATTCAACCACTTTGTGCAAAACTCAGGACAAGACAAATGACTTAAAGGCAATTTATTCTTAAGATGCACTAAAAGTTTGCCCTTTGGAGGCAAATTTCAGTGAAAATGGATGTTTTCTGGAATGTATTAGCAAGAGGCCATGTTTTAAGAAGTTTCCAAAAGCAAGTATTAAAATACCAAGTCAGAGAGGAAAATAGAAAGTGATTTGTGTTTATATTTTACACAGTTATTACAAAGACTAACAAGTGAGCCAAAGAGAACAATTCTCTCAAAATGCTTTCAGAAATTTTTAATTTTCAAAATTCACATGAATTTGGTTTTCTTATGACTGATGCTCTTCTCCACTGCTTAGAGTGTAACATGGAAGTATTTTATAACTCTGGTCTATGGTTCTACTTCCTGAACTGCACAATAGCATTAATATATTATGTTCTGGACTGAGGACAACATTTACAAATAAACCATACAAGAAAGAAGTATTAGTGCAGTCCTAAAAAAAAAAAAAAAAGGAAAGAGACTTGTAGAGGCCACATAGTTCAAAGAAATTTCAATGTTTAAATATCGTAAGTTTTTTAATTTACTTTTTCCAAAATAACACTGCTATGGATGTATTTACAAAAACGTATTAATATCATTGCAACTCAACTAGTACAGTGTGTAGTTTCATGATCTAAAACTTTATATGAGAATATCTAACTAGTTAAAATCAATATTCCAAGGAAAGGAAAATTAGGGACACCAATAATTCTAGGACTATTATTATTTTGATAAGCTTACTTTAATGTATTACAATTTAAATTCATTTTTGTGTGGAATATCAGATTTTTTTCCCCAAGAAGGAATTTCTTGTCTTTTTTACAATTCCCTAAGTGACCACCTAGAAATTTAAATCTTAAAAAGATTACAAACAGTTGTTAAAATAAAATTCCATCTGAAGTAGTTGTCTTGTATGATGTACCTAGTATAAAATATCTTTGTTAGTGGTCAATAAACACCAAAATTCTCAACTGCTTTTTTTTTTTCTTCCAATTGCATTTTGAGTGTACTGGCTGGCAATTATTGGTCAAGCTCTTTGGCTCAAGCAATCAAGAGCCACACTTCTACATCTTCTGAGAGTTGAAATAATTCTCCTTTCCCAAATGAGGCAATAAACCTTCAAAGCTATAAGAGTCACCATTCTTGATATTTGCCATAGTTTCAAGAAAAAAAAACCTATCATATTTCACCTCTACTCAAGGTACTATCCTGATCATTCTGAAATGTCTTACCAGTAGTAAGTTTACTGTAGCAAGTTCCATCAAAAGCTATTGGTAAGTTTCTGAGTAAATTCGATCCTGATCCTATGTTCAACACCCTACGACTTCCAAAATGTCTAACAACGTCTACCAACATCCTTCTTCTCCCTAGAAGAGTAAACATTGTTATAGAACCCAGAGAATAGCTGCTTGGCCCTAAAGAACATAGGTTCCCAGAGCAGCTGTCAGTAACTGCCAGATGCCTGTGGGACTATTACTTTGGTTAATGATAGGTCAGTTTGTTCTACTTTATTTCCCTCTTCTAATCCTGCAACTAGTGCAGAAAACTTACAGCTCTACTTTAAAAAGGCAATGAGGTACTTACCTTAGCTTTCCCTTTCCCAAAGAAATCGTCGCAGGGTCTCTATCCACATCCCGACTTTAACCCACAACCAATCAATCAGTCACGCATGACAACGGAAGCCTTTCAAAGGCTATCATTTTCTATTGAACATCCCCCCACCCCCGCCAGGAAAAAACCCCCGATGTGCAAGTTTTCAGTCATCGCTAGCACGTTCTCTGCGTTAAATGATGCCTGCCGGTTGCAATCTGCCCGTCCTAAATAACCCTGCGCTTGATAAGCGAGGTGGACTGGGGGTTAGCAGCTAACACGCTTCCTGCACCCTCGGTCACCCAAGTGATGCTCTTCGCAGCACACACTTCCACCCCCTCAGAAAATGCACAGCACGCTCAGACACTGCTTCCTACGGGATCGCCACCAGCCAGTGTCGCGGGCAGCTCTGGCTCTCCAGGAACCGCTCGGGTAGCTTCCCCTGGGACGCCCGGCTGGGGGGGCCGCGCCCCGAGACTCCGCCGCCAGCCGCACGCGAGGCCGACGGGTACCGCAGTGCTGCGGCCGCCGACCTCTGGGTTAAGCCGTTGATTGACACGAAAGAGAAAACCGGCCGGGTCTCCGGCAGACCCCGGTTTGCTCTGCCGCGGCACCAAAGAGAAGCCGCCGAATCGCACGGTTAGGAAAGACCGGGCGCGGAGCGCCGCCAGGGCGGGGGAGCGAACGCCGTCGAGCGGCCCCGCGGAGGGCGGGTGTCGGGGGCAAGCAGGAAGGCTCCCGAAGTGCCAAGGACCGGCCGAGCACCCGCCTCCGACCCGGCGCCGTCCAACACCGGCACCCGCCCGAAGGCGAGCCCGGCCCGGGGATGGGATGGGGGGGGTCCCCGCCGCAGCCCGCCCAGACTCCCCGGCCCTCACCTGTCAGGAGCGCCCGGCGGTCGCCCGCCGCCGCCGGCCCCGGCGAAGAGGCGGCGGCCCCGGCCGAGCCCGCCGCGCGTCGCCCGCGGAGGTGTCTCGGCACCAGGTCGCATCCGTCCGCGGCTCCGGCCACCAGCAGCCCGAACACCAGCAGCGCAGCCCAGCGCCGCCCAGGCAGCCAGCCCGAGGCCGGGGCGGGCGTCCCGGCGGGATGCGGGGCGAAGGGACCGCGAGGCGGCGGCGGCGGCGGCGCCCCGGCTGCCGGCCACTCGCTCGCCCCGCCAGGCGCCGCCGTGGCCGGCGACTCCCCGGGCCGCCCCCGCCACCCCAGACGCTGGCTCCCGCCGGGCGCCAGCCTGGACCTCGGGACCGCGGCGGCCTCCGGAGCTCGGTTCTCGGCGGCGTTCATTGGTTCCGGTTATTTGAAACAAAAAGCAAAAAAAAAAGTGGGTGGGAGACGGAAAGGCACCGCGTCTCCGGGCCGTGCGCGACCCCGCGCTGCTCCGCGGCGAGACCGGGATCCGCTGCTCCGGCGCGGCTCAACCCCAGCCCAGCGCCCGCGCCGCCGCCGCCGCGGCGCATCCCCCCCGCCCCCTCCGGCCCGCGCCTGTCGTAGTACCACGCTCGGCCGGGACGCCTCCGCCCCTCACACTCGCTGGCATACCGATCCCCCGCCTCCCTCCGCACCGCCACCGCGCAGGCGCGGGGCTGCCGCGGCGGTGGTACGCGTGCGCGGGGCGCAGGCCCCGCCCCTCCCCCAGGCGTTCCCAGACGGATGGGCGTGCCTTCCGACCCTTCCTAACTCCGCCGCCTGGAGAGGGGGCGGGAAGGAGGCGGCGCGGCCCCGCCCCCACGCACGCCCCGCCGCGGCTGGCGACTGGGGCCCCGCCCCGCACCGGGAGCCGACGCGGAAAGCCTGAGATCGTTTGCGTTGAGCTTGGACGGTGTCGACGGCCGCAAAGACTTAACTGCACGGGTGAGACCAGCCGTGGCCGAGACGGAAACAGCCGAGTCCCGGCGACTTCGGTGCAGGCGGGGCTGAGCTGCGCCGAGGGCAGCCGGCGCCCGCGCTGGACTGACCGTCACACACTCCAGACCCGCCGCCTGCCCAGTGCCAGGCTTCGCCGTCAGCTCCGGCGAACCCGCACCTGCTCACTCATCTGTATCATGGCCATTTGCTAAGGAAGAAACTGAGAAGTCTGGAACCGCTCAAAAGAGCTCGCCCTGAGGACCCGCAGCCAAGCCCCCCGCCAGACCCGCACGGCCACACTGGGTTGGCCCTGGCCGCCTACCCTTGACCCCCCACCCCACTGCTCCCCACTGAGGCGTTGCTGTCAGCTGAACAGGCAGCCAGGGAAAAAAAACAAAAACCAGAGGGACAGACTTGATCGCTGGGCCTACCTGGCCTGAAGCCAGGTTCTGGTATTGATCGGCCTCAGTTCAGAACAGGCTAACTGGTGTGAGAAATGGAGAAATTAGCAAGCAGCAGGGAAGAAGGGTAGCTTAAGTAAGTAGAATTTAGCAAGAAACAAACATTGAGCCATGAGTTCCAACTGAGATCCAGATTCTTTCTCATAGGAACAGCTGCCAACACCTTCTTTTGGTTGGGGGAGAAGGGGGTGAGTCTGCTTCAGATGCACCCCAGGACCTTGCATATTATTATAAACAGGAACTTAACCACAGAAATATACCGCCAGCCCCCAAAGTCATACTTTTGAGATCACCTCCTTTCACTTGTAAAAAGTGTTGACTACACACAGACACACGCAGGAGAGCCCGCCAGGGACAGTTATGTAAGATAGGGTCCTTAAGCACATGAGTCCAGCTGATTAGTTTATTGGTTTGTTTGGCTGCTGTTATTCCAGAAGATAACCAATTACACAATCTCAGTTTAGGCAACCTGGCCAAGATAACCCCAAATATCATTCATTGTGGAAGGAGAAATGCACACTGCAGGAAAGAATCTAAAATGTCTTTGAAGCTAGTCAATCTATCAACAATTTTTTTTAATTTTTATTGTAAAGGTAATATAGAGGGGTTACAGTTACATAACTCAGGTATTGAGTACATTTCTTTCTTAACCATGTCACCTCCTCCCTCATTTTCTTCATTTTTCCCTCCCGACACCACTCCCCAACACAAGGAACAGTTCATTTACAACCAATTGTCCAGTAAGTATTACTGCTGAATTGGTTCACCCTTGTCCCACCATTTCTGTGCTTCCCCTTTCCCTCCCCAAATCAGATAAACTTACATACAAGACAAAGGGTACAGAAATGAAAAAGTGACCAAAAAAGGAGTAATAGATTTTAAAACACCACAAAGGAAAATCAAAAACCTCTTGCTTCAGTTTCTTGGAGTTCATTTTGATAAGCCTCATTTTACATGATCATTTGCACATAGCTATTAAGCCCTTATGACCCTCTCCTAAGAACAATTATTTCTCCACAGACTTTTTGGTGGCAAGGTGTTCAGGTGGCAGGACTTCATAGGGCAAAGGGGAGATTATATTTCCAGTGCTGAAAGGCACAGCAACGAAGTCATACATCTACTGAGGACCCACAACAGGAAGGTGATTCTTCTGAGAACTAGGGGAAAAAGTAAATAACCGGCTTGTTTCCTGCTCTCCAGGAGGCATCATTTCATTCACCCAATATTGACTGAGTATCTAGTATGTGCCAGGAAAGGTACTGAGTGTTGGAGACTCAGCAGAATAAGAGATCCACTAGAGAGTCATTTAAGTCAGCACTCAGAGATGTGAGATGGGCAATACAGTCGTTGCCTGGAGAATCTTGCTTATGAGATAAATTTGCAACCATTAAATAATTGGAAGCTAATAGTCGTAGTTAGTTAATCCGCTGCTAAATTAGGTAGTGCAAACTGTATTACTGCAATAACAAATTTAAAACTATGAACAAATTAACAAATCGCTGAACCAAAGCTTTGTGGGGAAAAAATCTGACATTTTTTTTCCTGTTTTAAAGTAGGGTAGTGGCACTGAAAAGACACTGGACTTGGGAGTTATGTTTGTTCTTAACATGACTGGAAAAAAAATGACTGGAGGCACAGAAAGCAGGCTGGAAATGTGGCTTCGTGGTAGAGTGCTTGCTTAGCATGCATGAAGCCCTGGATTCCATTTCTCAGTATCACATAAACAGAAAAAGCCCGACGCTGTGCTGTGGTTCAAGTGGTAAAGTGCTAGCCTTAAGAAAAAGAAACGCAGGGACAAGTGCCCAGGTCCTGAGTTCAAGCCCCAAGACTGGCCAGATTTTAAATCGGTATGCACTTGAAACCTCTCTGTGCCAGGCATAGGCCAGGAATAAACGTCATCTTTGTCATAGCTACCAAAATTTGTCAACGAGAGGTACAGTGTCACCATGCATCGCAGCATAAATCGAGATGGGGCGAGAGCAAGTCTATTGCTTTGGAAGGGAGCACAGCTCTTTAGCCACACAGACGCAAGGCTCCATCTCAGGCAGCCGCCTCCGTGTCTCAAGTTCCCTCTTTTTCTTTTTCCCTCCCCCACTCAAAAGCTTTCTTCCACATTCCCCCTTGTCCAACCCGATCGGAAATCTACCCCAAGCACTTTACCTTGACAACTACCTTACTCTCACAAGCCTCTTAACTTCCAGACCGTACCATGTACTGACAGAATGTTGACCCAGGCATGATTTCAAGCGTGTGGTGGGCAGCCCTGAGCTTTGTTACCATACCAACCTGGTCGAAATGGCAACTTTACCTCTTCTCAGTTGTGACCTGTGGGCCAGCTGATCCGTTCTCCCTTCCCCCAAGCCGACACTGGGAATTTAGGAATGCAAAGCCGCTCCCCCCACCCCGCCCCCAGCCGGGGCTGCTGATGGAGACAGGAGCCCAGGAGAATAGGGAAAGCCTCTGCCTGGTGCCTGGCTCACGGGGATGTTGTCATCCCTGGTGGAGAATCGGCCCCAGTTATGCATTTGGCTTCACATCAACGCATCAGTTCATGAGGTTTGATTTCCACTTCCTGCAAATAACTGCAAACTCCTGGGGCGCACCCGGCACAGATGCACAGCACCTGGTTCCTCCCCATCCCACAGCAAACCCGCCCTTCTTCAGAGTCGGGGGGGGGGGGGCCTGCCCACAGTGGTCTTCCAGCTCCCCAGCACCCTGGACGACGTAACGACGCACCGCGCCAGCTCCAACTAGGAGAACCGGATCTCTGCCGCCGAGCCAGCAGTGCGCCTGCGCCAACCGGCAGCCTCGCGCATGCGCGGTGCTTCCCGCCGGCTTTTTTTTTTTTTATTCCCCCTTCCCCCTAGGTACAGGAGCTCAGACTCCAGCAGCTCCTCCGCGCGGCGCGCCTGCCAGGCTTCCGGCTCCCACTCCGTGGGCGGTGCGTCCGCGCGCCCGGACGCCGCGTGGTGACGTCACTGAGATGGAGTCTGGGGAGAAGCGTTCCCGCGCCGGGCTCCCGGCACCCGGGCTTTCTGCAAGCCAAGTCTCTCGGCTTGGGCTGAATGTGCCGGGAATATCCGGGGGCAGACGGAGCGCTGTGATGGTGCTTCCTGCTGAAGGCCCTTGGGGGAATGCAAGATCCTAGTAACTAATGTCACCTGCCACAGTGCCCGTCCTCAGGCTTGCCAGAGGACTGAGGTCTGGAGAGTTGACGTCTTCAGATGGGATAGCCCGAATTCGAGCCCTCCAACATTCGGAACAGGTCGATCAACAAGTAGGGGCCTCGAGTAAGTGAATAAATTAAAACACCAAGAAAAACAGAGAAGGAAGGAAGGAATTCATTAGCAAGAGCTAGCTGTCTACACACAGCTAAGCCGTGGGATGCTGAACTGGTCCAGAGAAGGAAGAACTTCTCCTTGCGTCCATCTCCGGGAAAGAGAAAGGCTTAAAAAGGTGTCCTACACTCAAGATAGGAAATCACTCAGCATGTTTTACTTACCCTGGTTTTCAAAAAGCCACTCCACCCAGTATAAGTGAACTTTTGTCCATCCCAGCCAATTAAGGACTTCGTGTGATTATTCTTGTTATTAAACAAGGCATGTTTGCTCTGTTACTCTTGAATTTGAACTGTTAGATGAATATAATTGATCGTGTGATATCAAGTAAGTGCTGAAGCAGTACCCCACTGACACCCCCCCCCCCAAAAAGACCAAAAATCGGCGCCTGTGGTCTGTAATCCTAGCTATTCATTAGACAGAAGTTAACTGTTGTCGTTCGAAGCTAGTCTGGGCAAGAAAGTCTGAGAGGCTCTTATCAGAAATTAACTGCCACAAAGAACCCGAAGTTGAGCTGTGGCACAACTGGTAGAGCACTGGCCTTGAGTGAAAAAGCTCAGGGACAGCTTCCAGACCGAGTTCAAGCCCCAGGACAGGCATGGAAAAAAAAAAAAAAACTGTGATGGAGATAAAAGTATAACTTTCACAATGGAACAAAGTAACAGAACTGTTTCATTTGCACATGGCTGAATCATTCGACAGTAATGACAATTTTCAAGATAAATGGCAACAAGCAAAACAAGGCATACCTCACACTTCATAGCAAATGACTCAAAGAGTAATTGGTGAACATGG